TCACGACCTAACTCCTCACATCTTCTAGGCTATTTGTTTAATTGTTTCATACGAATGTAAGCCATAACAAATAAATTTGGCAGGATGAAACACCTAAATATTTCTCCTCAAAATAGAAGCCAAACCATATGATAGCTTGGGAAGTCACCAAGGTTCTCCTCAGAATCTATGACATCCCCTAGTTCTTCCTCCTTTGGACTCTATAACAAAATGTTCCAAATTTGAACCTTTCCCCTTTCACACCTCTTTGTCTGATTTTGTTGAAAAGTCCTATCATTTTGACCTCTTTAAAGATAATATTTACTTTGAGAGTTTTCTTAGATAACTTTGATTATCTAAGATGTAACTAACTATAAAGGCTTGCCCTTCTATGAAGCTTGTTCGAAGCCAGCTTAATATAATCCCTATTTAATTCTTTGTATTAAATAGAGGAACTTGTCGACAAATAAAAATGATTTCGCAGACCAAATGGATGTCATAAGTCTATTTGATTGAGCCTCATCCTCAAGTCTTGTGTTTTTCCTTCGGGCTAGATACATGATTTGAGGTACAGTGCTCTTTCATTTTAAACTATGAAAAATATGGGGTCATTTTGATTTCATGCTTCAGTATCCTTCCGAAGCGAGCGACGGGATTTTGATTCCAGCGACCGACAGCTTCTTACGGGAAACCCCACAAACCATCCCCGAAATAACGCCGACACTACTTTAAAACATAAAAGAAACATAAACAACATTATGAAGATCAAAATTGTTAATGGAGTTACTTTAACTACCATTGAGGATATTGGTGAAAATGTTATGCTTGACTTTACTGAGCTTTATCAATCTACATCACAAGTTACCCCTGTAGACTCCAATTTATTTGCTGATGAAAGAAGTTACATTAGCACCCTCTCTTTAACTCAAGCTCCTGATGAAATTGAAATTCTCTCTGCTTTTCAATCCATTTTTCCTAACAAAGCTCCAAGCCCATATGGTTTCTCTTCATCATTCTATGTGAACTGCTGGGATATCATCAAGAAGGAGGTTATCCTTACTATTCAAAGTTTCTTTCTTGGGGATGACCTAGGTAAGTATTTTAGCTCTGCCTTAATTGTGCTTATCTCTAAAGGTAAGGAAAAGATTACTTTGGACAATTTTCATCCTATTTCTCTTACCACTGTTATTTCTAAAGTCTTGAGTAAGTTGATTGTGAATAGGCTTCAACCACTTTTCTCAAAGATTATCTCTCCACATCAATCCACTTTTATAAAGGGTAGAGAGATTGCTGATAACATCCTCCTGGCACAAGAAATGATTGAAAACATGGATAAAAAATGTCGAGGGGAAAATATGGTTTTTAAACTTGACATTAAAGAGGCTTTTGATACCATTAGTTGAGATTTCATTCTTAATATTCAACAGGCTAATGGATTCCATCAAGGATTCTACTTACATATCAAAATATGGTTAGAAAATAACCATTACAGTGTGCTTGTTAATGGTAAAGCTCATGATTTCTTTTCTACATATAGCATAAAACAGGGGGATCCTCTTTCCCCTACTTTTTTCATAATTGTTTTTGTTTACCTTTCTAGGCTTGTTAATAATTTCCATATACAACATCCTCACATCCAATATTCTCATAAATCTAAACTCATGGTTAGCGATCTTGCATATGCTGATGATGGTATTTTATTCTGGAATGCCAACAAGTCTTATATTAAAGCTATTTTTTTATCTTTTGACTGAATTTCAGAAAACATATGGCTTACTCTTTAATTTGGCCAAATGTTCTTTTTTTTTCAAAAATAGTGCATCATAATGTTGAAAGTTGGGCAACCACTTTCACTGGATGTAAACTTGCAGAACTTTCTACTAAATATCTTGGTATGAATATCATCAGAGGAAAGTGGAAGCAATTTCAACTGGATAAAGTCGTTGAAAAAATCAAATCCAAAATAAATGATTGGAGGAACACTTTTTTTATCAAATAGTGACAGGCTTACTTTGTTGAAAAGCATGTTTTTTAGTCTACCTTTATATGCTATGCTGGTTCTAAAGACTAAGAAAAGCACCGAAAAAACTATTGAAGTGCTTTTTAACAAATTTTTTTGAAGTTGTGCTTGGTCCAGCAAAATTTGGACTAACTGGAATAAGATTAGTAAACATGTTTCTTCTGGGGGACTTGGTTTTAAAATACTTCAACAGATTATTGATATAAACATGTGCAAGCTGTGGTTCAAATTTTGAGTTGAAGACTCTTTATGGGCTTAGTTTATCCATCACAAATATTGCACTTTTACACACCCCTCCATTGTCACATGGAAGCTTGGTGACTCTAAACTCTAGAAGGCTATAGTACAAGCTAGAAATGTGGCTTCTCATTTCATATTTTTTGATGTGGGTAATGGGAATATCTCTTTTTGTCATGATCATTGGGGAACTTTAAATTTTACAACTTCATCTCACTCATTATCTGACACAAACTTACTTGTCTCGGATTGTTGGATGAATGATACCTAGAATTTAACTAAACTTGTGTCTTTCGTTAGGCAGGAAGCTCCCTTAATTGCTAAAATTCCATTAAATGTGTTTAAGAAGGATGTACTTATGTGTAAATTTCGATCCATAACCTCTATTACTAAAATGCTTTATGCCCAACTTCACAAATTTCCACATTGGAAATGGAGTACTTATATATGGCATCACTATGTTTTTCCTTCCATTTCTTTTTTTTTATGGAGATACTTTAATACTATGTTACCACTCGATGATATTCTAAAGATGAAAGGCTTGAGACTTGCTTCATTTTGTTATATTTGCTAGAGGATTGCTGAGTCTCTTTATCATTTGTTTTATGAATCCCCTTTTGCTAGAGAAGTTTAGGATAAGTTTGGGAGTTTCACTATAATTTGTTGGCCCTAATATTTGAGATTGGAAAATTTGCTTGCTACTTGGAAGAAAGCAAGCTATATACATAATAAATTGCACTATTTTTCTCTAGTTGTTTTGTGGTTTATTTGGTTGGCTAGAAATAGCTATAAATATAATCCCTCTTCCCCCACCCCCACTACCACTGTCTCACTTATATTGTCCAACTATCACAAAGCTTTGAGGGCATTAAATGCATCTGGAACTCTTCTTACGCTTGGGAGAGGTAGGAGACCAACTTTGGCTAGTTGGAGACCACCCTCCCAAGGTTGGATAAAAGCTAATATTGATGGTAGTTGGTCTTCTAATATTGCTGGGGTTGGTGGCTTGTTTCATGATAATACTTGGAAGTGCCTCGTTTTCTTTGCCTCTCCTGTTAATTAATCATCCCCTCTTGAGGCTGAGACTTGGGTTGTTCTCTTAGCATTGCAGGTTTTTGTTTCTTTCCGATTCAGAAATTTGGTGATGGAATTAGATTCACAATGGTAGTTTAGTATTTTAATTGGAAAGAAAAAGCATGCTTGGTACTTCATTAGTGTGCTAAAACGTATAAAGGGTATCATTGGAAGTTATCATCTTATAATACAATATAGCTTCAATCATAGTGAAAGGAATGCTCCTGCGGACTGGTTATATAAAAATGGGCTTGCTGGTATACTTATTGGAGATACACCTCCTCCTCTTCACACTCTCCTTCCTAGTGATTTGCTGGATGCCCCATATATTAGAAGCTAGCTTTATCTGATTTTTTTTACAATGCATTACTATTTGATGATCCTGATGATCCTCTGTGGTCTGCTTAAGCTTTATCACCATTTTATCTTGCTAATTATGTGGCCCTGGAATTGGAGTCCTGGCTGGGAGCTCGTCAACCTTTGGGAGTTATATGATGCCTGCCATGTATACTTTTCCTGTCACTATTGCATTTCGTTTTGGGATGACACTGTTTTGATCACTATTATTAGCACTATGCATTGGCTGCTAAGCATTTTATTAGCAGCAATCTGGCGCAGTTTACTGTGCTTTATGTTGGCTGGTTCATTTTTCTACTCCCCACCCTCTCTTCTGCAGGTTTTAGGACACTTTTATGAATGGATGGATTCTTTATCAGTTGATAGTTTTCTTTTTCATTACTTGTGGAGGATGTTATGTTGTTGGATTGCTTTAGTGCTTCATTCGGATGCTACACTAGTTCTTTCCCTGACGGAGAATTGCTGCTACAGGGACTGTTTGGTTTAGCTTCCTTTTTTCTGTAGGAAATGGGTCTCCCTCAGGATTGGATTATTGTGATGCTCTATGGTCGTATGGCTACTGTTACAATTTGGCAAACGGCTCTCACATGTCCTGTTTTGTGGACTGATTGGATCTCTCATACTTCTCTAATGCTGCACAGGCTTTTTGATCAATTTTTGGTGTATACATGTTGTGTTGGGTATACTTGTAAGTGTTGGGGTATACGATATATATATATATATATATATACATACATACACATACATACATACATACGTATACCTATATGTATGAATAAGAAAGTCTTCATACAACATTATCCATTTAATTCATATAATAAGTAATTACTCTACGTTACAAATATCTTTATCTATCTCTTCACGCTGAAGAAGAAAAAAAAACAAGTATAGCTTAGTGGACTGTCAAACTGGTACTTGATGTTAAGATTCAAAGGATGCCGCTGTTTCTCGCTTTGTCGATTGATATGTATGCATGTGTCTACATGTGTGTGTGATTCAACTTCATGCACAAAGAATATAGATACATAAAAAAGATGAACCAGCTAAACTTCTTGTTCATTAAGGTTATCGGCTTGATTTAGTGTAAATCTGCACCCCGAGACCGCATCGCTGATGGAAAGGAAGACCCACTCCTTTCCGACCGCATCGAGAAAATTGGCTGCCACTAACTTCTCCGCAACTCTTAATCTTGGATTTATTAGTGCCACCTGTGAAACAAAGTAGATTTCAAACAGGCATACATACAAACATACATACAGACATACACACATACGCACATACAATCATTCGTATTATTTCAAGTAATTATGATACACGTGACTTGCCTGGATCTCCCTCTTGCGAAGCATTTGATGGACTTCAAATAGCATCCCTATGCCTGTGTTGTCAATGGCACACACTCCTGCAAACAATAAAGGAAACATATATTCAGTTTGAGACCTCAAGCGCCACATTGTTCAAGTTTATGAAATTTATTAGACCTTCCTTCTTTAATTTTAATTACACTCACTAGCTTTTATTATTTTAATACGATATTCATAGAAAATGATTATGAGCCAACATGACATTATATGCTTGTTAAAAAATTCATAAAAAAGAAGAAAAATACTAACCACTCATATCAAATACAATGTACTGCAAATCATGTCCTTTCTCTTTGATAATGTCCCCTTCAGCCTCCAAGTATCTCGTAATCCTTACATACAGATTGCAAGAGAAAAAAAATTAGAAGAGCGAAGACTGGTGGAGAAAATAGGAGCCCTTGGTGTGCTGTTTTCTACCTCTCCCTTAAATAATTTGCATTGACAAAATAGATAGGTGAACCCAGTTGCAAGATCAAGACACCAGGAATGGTAGTTAATTCAGGGTACTGTTCCAAATCACGGTACAGCTCGGTTCCTGGCACCTTGCCAAGCACGCACGTTGACGGTCTGGCAACATGTAGCAGCGCTCTTATTATGGATAAGCCTACCTGAAGATGAAGTTTTTGCTTTAGTTTTCAACAAAATATATGAAAATATATAAAACAATCATGAAACATACTTACTGATGCAAGCAGGCCGACTTCCATATCGACAAAGATAACTCCCAGAAATGCAGCCAAACAGACGCAGAAATCGAACTTATCCACCTTGAAAAGATGTTTCATCTCATGGAGTTCGATGAGTCCGAGCATGGCGACTATGATGATCGCTGCAAGAGCGACAAGTGGCGTGTACTTGAAGAGGGGAGTCAGGAACAGAAGTACCAGCATCATACATATAGCCATAACCACATTGGACATTGGAGTCTTGCAGCCAGCATGGAAATTGACTGCAGATTTTGAGAAGGGTCCTGGACGAAGAAATAAGAATCATTTAATACCAGTGTTCTAATTTGTTGAATAGGAACAAAGAATTAAATGACCATTTCATCAGAACTAATAAAAAAAAATCAACATATATTCTTGTTGTTTATTACTATGCTCTGGGATAATTAAGAGTTGTTGTTTTCATTTATACTTTGGCTAATACATTGTTAAACCTATAACTTAATCACTCCGTGAAGTAAACAATTGGGTTTGTGGTCTTTTTTAAACAACCAATCTTTTCTCTTTTTAATTAAAATGGCGCAAATTAGACAATGTCAAACAAAGTGTTATGTGGTGTAGAACCGAATAAAGTGATCACATCTACTCAATCTAACAATGCCTAACTTCTCATTGTCATTATTTTATATCTGGAGCCTAATGGTGGCTTCTTCTGCTCATCACTTACTCTGCTCTTCTTTTGGATGCGGAGCTAAAGTTTGGTATTGATGTAACTTTTAATAAATTTTGGTAAATTTTCATAATATTTCTCATAAAAAATCTTAAGCAATCCTAATTGGTGTCGCCAGACGAGACATGACCGAATTACAACTTATTCTTGTTCTACAAAATTTTTTGACCCATCCACCGTCAAATTTAATCGAGAGACATCCCTCTATTATCTGCAGATGTTTTTCAAATTTCATTTGGCCATAAACCACTTTTTCAAAGCCAAGTATCCTATTCTAGGCAGTTTTGTAACTTAAAATTTAGCATGTCCCAGTTTGATTTTAAAATCCTAAAAAAAAAAATCAAAAGCTATAAAAAATTCTTCAAATTTATCAAAATATCTAAACACATCCCTATAAGGTTTTCAATGGTTTAAAATTCAAAGTTTACAAATATTCTCCAAATCAAGAATCTAAACTCAGATCTAGTTTTTCATTTTTTTTTTAGTTATGGCCAACCAATAACTCGAGTTTTTCCCTCGCTACACCCCATCAAACTCTAACCCAAGCATTTCACACCTTCTATATCCTGTGAGGCTTCCAAAGATTTTTTTAAATCTTTTTTCCTTGTGTCTCAGTAGATTTATTTCTCTCTCTCTTAATAGAAAATAATTATCATTGGCTTTCTGTTAAAATATTAGTAATGATTTTTCCTTGTGATTTTCCCTTCAAAGTTGTCTATTTGTGATGTGCATGAAACAGAGGGAGAGAAAGTTTTGTAAGCATTTATAAGAAATGTTAAAAAAAAAGTACTTATGTTCAATAAAAACTCGAAGGTTATTGCCAAAGTTGGTCTATGAAGTAGCAAAACTAAACAATTTATTCTTTTGTATTATTTTTCCACTAGAATGATGATCCTCGTGGTTCAAGTTGAAGAGATTCTTGGTAAGTTTTTTTCTGCTTGATTGTTAATCAACTTATATTTACATCATTACAATGTATTTACATCATTGTTGATATAATAGATCAATATATGCCAAATTCATAGAAAAAAAAAATTGAATGTTGTCCTAGAAATTTTAAGATATGCTATGAAATTTTGATAAAATGACTACTTCATCAAAAACCTAATTTTGATAAAATGACTACTGCCTTCCAAAATAAAATTGCCTTAGGGAGAAGATAAAAGGTAAATCATAACTTCAAGATCAAATGTAAAAATTGAATACATAGAAACATATTCTACTTGTGAAATAATGTAGATAAATTTTTTTCCGGAAATTGGCCTTCTCTTTACTCAAACTACAATCCTCACATCATATCTATCTATCTATCTATCTATCTATATATATATATATATAAATATTACTATTCATCTCAGATGGGAGCTTAATCCTAGATTTTTTTAAGATTCAAAGGTTAGTAATTAAAATACCACATTTCAATAATGTAAAATCTTTTTTGACATGTGAGTAACCCGAATGCTAATTATTTTCCATTGTATGGCTAGTATTTGTTTAAGTACACACACATATGTATGAAGACATTAATAAAGTTCCTTTTCCTCGTGCGTACTTAATATTATGTAAGGCTTCATTTGATTACATATGGATAAAAACCCTTGTTTTAAATGAAATAAACTTTTTTTACAAGATTTTAGTTTTAATGGAAAATAATTTTATTTGAGAGATTGTTGAGGTGATAGTCTTAATAAATAATGATTATTAAAAAAAATAAAAGAAACTACTTGTTCAAAATATCGTTTTTCACAATAAGAACTAAAATGAGCCCCAAACCTGAGAAACAATTAATTCAATGGCTATAACAGGAAAAAAACAAGCATTATTTTTAATTACCAGTTGTTAGATAGCATGAGGTGAATGAACCGATAATGTTCATAATTCCAAATGCAATCATCTCCTTATTTCCATCTATCTTCTCATTTTTAAATAATGCCAGGCTCCTGCCGACTGCGATTCCCTCCTGCAATAGAAAATTAAACAATGTCATTAAAAAAAATTTTGTAGCCTGCATATGGAATACATATTAGAGAAAGGAAACAATATTTTTGCCCTATCTTTATACCATACCGCTAAAGCTATCAAGCCAGAAATCAGACCAACTTTCAAAGCAATTGAAACATATGGAGATTTGAATTGTAATTGAGAAATTGAAATTGGGTTTAGTCCATTCTTCAAGTCACCCACCTTGCAAAAAGCAAAGAAGTTGAAGAAATTTGAGATTCACAATTGAATAATGCCTTTAAAGAAGGCTTTCTGAGTTTTTCAGTTCTATAATCTTAGCATTAAAGTTTCAACTAGCCATCTATTTTAATAAATAGCGAGGTATAACAGATAACAGATATATATATATATA